CAAAACTACCATTCGCCTCTTGAGGTGGTTGTCTCACTTTGCTTTCATTCCAGTTATAATAAGGATATTCATCCCACCTAGAGTTAAGATTATGCCCACACGATATCTCATACCTGTACCGGCTAGAGATAGAGTGAGACTGTTCAAAAGACGAGCCAAATGAAGAATACTTACCTGCTTGACAATCAATCCATAGATGATTTCCACTACATTTAAAACAAATAGCAGACTTGTGATAATGTTCAGCTGCTAACTCTTCAACTGTTAGGCTGGTTGTACTCCATCTTCACATCATTAGAGTTCAACATTAGGAATATTTTCTTCAAGCTTTATCCCTAGCACTTGTCAGGTACTACAAAAGAAATCTTGAAGACAAGTTAACTAAAAAAAATAAAATAAGAAAATAAAATTAAGTCCCAAATTAGCACCAAAAATTATTTTGAGCACTATTGATTGCCAAACCCCGGCAACGGCGCCAAAATTTGATGAGCGCAAAACACAACACGAAAATGATGCTCACTAGCCAAAGATAGTACATTTTAATTATCGTCTCCACATGGATTGAATTTAAACAATATTCAAGTAATTTCTAATTTAACTGATATTCAGGATGATCAAAACTTGATTTGGATTAATTACGAACTACGATTAACTACTGAAGTAAAGCAATTGACAATTGATTGCAAGGAACTAAAGATTGACAGAGTTGGTTTCTTATCAATGTGAGGAATAAGGGTTTGACATGATAGGCGCAAGATAGTTGTTTGAGATTTAACCCTAGTTTAGTTCATTCTAATGATTCTCACGAATTCACTCGATGATTAGTTCAACCGTGTAGTCAAGACTCCTCTCTTGATTAAATCTTAACTCTACGAGGTGAACTAATATAAGCACAGTGAAATTATGCAAGCATGCATTAATGGACTAGTCTTAAGGAAAACGTCTCTCGAATATTCCCCTAACTTGATTTAATCAACAATTCAACAAGCTCTTTCGATTACTGAAGAGAACCGCTGAATTAAATCAAACAAAATAATGCAAACATAATCACAAAAATATTCCTCTTTCAATTATATAAACCAGTGAATAAAGTTGCAACAATTCAAAACTCCACAAACAAATTCAAGCAACAACTAGAATTAAAATGCACAAATATTTATCAAAACGCCATATCCATCAAACCCTAAGGGAAACTACTAAATAATCATGGAGCAAGTCATCACAAATATAATTAAAGAATAAAAAGCATCAGTCTAACGTTACAATCCAAACTCCCGTATTGAATTGATGGAAAGATGATAAAATTCTATGTCTTGTAGCCTTCATTGCTCTCCCAAAACTTCCAAGGTCAAAAGTCCTATAAAATTTGTGTTTTGATGCATTTATACCATGTAGGAACGAGCTCGGACGAAACTATCCTTTCCAAGCCGAAGTGGGAAAAGGTGCGCGAAAAAATAAACTACCGCGGCGCACCGGGTGGCGCGCTAAGCGCTGCATTAGTGGAAAAGTTCAGAGGTCTATTTTTTTCACTATGCAGGAATTTGCACTAGCGCCGCGCTACGCATGGCGCGGCGCGGTAGTGCAGCTTTCTCAGAGTAATTTTTTTCTAACTTTTTGACATCTAGACTTGGTTCCCAACCCCCCAAACGTGATCCCAACTTAATTTCTTGGGCTTTTACTCAGACTTCAAAGCTCCAACTTGTTCAAATTAGCTCCAAATTATCTTAATAGCTCGAAATCATTTCTTGCAGGGCATAGAACACGTAATAAGCGCAAATCACCATTATTTAAGCTCAACTACAAGTAAAATGCAGTGATTAAAGTACAAACTATGACTAAAATACGAGTTTCTAGCCTACAATTAGTCGTCACAAAAAAATCATATTTCTTGTAGTGGCGTTATTAAGAAGATGAGGGATTGAATTATTTAGCTAAACTATTCTGCTGCTAATAAGTGACAAACATGAATACACATGATCAGCTACTAGGAAAGATTAAGACACAACACACAAACATAATCTTGACACTACTAGAAATTCGGTAATTAGCGACCAAAAAAACCGATCAACTTTGGTCGGTTATGGCCAATTACCGACCAAAATGCGACCAAATACGGTTGGACAGTATTTTGGTGGTCGCTTTAGTATACCGACCAAAGTTGGTCGGAAATTACCGACCAACGTTGGTCGGTAAATTAAATTCAAAAAAAAAAAACATTGCAAAAAAAACTGACCAAAGTTGGTCGGTTTTTTCCGACCAAAGTTGGTCGGTATTTTAATTATGTAATCAAAAGATTCACCGTCTGGGAATCGAACCAGGGTGTGTACTGTGGCAGGATACTCTTCTACCACTAGACCATTGGTGCATTTTGTTTTAAGATTGTCTTTTTTTTTATTTATACTCTTTAGTTGTATTTTCGCACGAAAATAACCGACCAAAGTTGGTCGGTTTTATTAAAAAATAAAATTACCGACCAAAGTTTGTCGATTTTTTAAAATGACTGGTCGAATTCACCGACCAAAGTAGGTCGGTTATTTTAATATTAATTTTTATTTATTTAATTGCAAAAACCGACCAAAGTTGGTCGGTTTCTTGAAAAATAAATTTTGCGGGATTCAAAAATAGTTTCCCGCATTATTGCGCCAAAGAAAACCGACCAAAGTTGGTCGGTTTCATAAAAAAAAATTAAAAATTAAAATATTTTGAAAAACCAACCAACTTTGGTCGGTTTTTGGCTAGTTTTTTTTTCCCGATAAACTAACATTTTCATATATAAAAAATTGTTCTGTACATAGTAGGACCTGCTGACCAGTTCCTTATCTCTTTTTAGACTACACTTGACTCCAACATTTCATAGATGTCTCCCTATATGACTATATTCAGCCTATACATGTAATCTTCTATCATGAAAACTGAAAAACATGAATACAGGATTAGAGTAATAGCCTATCTATGGATATCTGTTCAAAGCTTCCATGTGTTCCTGCCAATTGCTGTGTGTATGACTTTTGATATTAATATATGAAGTGATCTCTTGGCATATCTGCTCTGCTGAAGTACTTCCATCTTGAAATCTGAGCAGATTCCTGTCCCTCCATAAACTGTATATCAGCATGCCAAACACTGCTACAATAATATTTCCAATCCCTTTCTTCTTCCTATCATGATAAGCCACCCAATGCAGCTCCTCCTCCCAAGCTTGAATCTGTCTTTGAGTTCCCATCCAGTTTAGTAATCTCTTCCAGATAGTTCTTATGTATGAACACTCAAAGAATAAATATTCAAATAGCTCATCTTTCTGACCACAGAATACACATATTTGAGCTACTTGAATACCAATTTTCTGCAGTCGATCAACTGTTGGTAATCTCCTTTGAATGGCCAGCCGCAGATTGAATTTGTGTCTAGGATGTATATGAGGATGTAAGATCAGACTTTTCTAGTATACCTTCTGACCCTGAGGAGTTTGCAAGTTATATAGCTTCTTGATACTGAACTTACCATTTGTGCTCTGTAAGGACTCCAGTCTTTCTTGCACATTGCCTTGTAAACTTGGTAAATTCAATATAAACTTCCTTTGTTCAATAATCTTCCTTACTACCCAAGCTGCACTCTTAGGTATAGGCATGGTGTCAATGCTCCTGTTCTTATGTAATAAGAATGTATCCATCGAATCCATAAGCAATCTTTCTTCTTTGTGATTGCCCACAGATGCTTCACTATTGCAGCTTTGTTCCAGTTACAAAGATTTATCACATTCAAACCTCCCATTGTTTGTGGTAAACAAACTCTGTCCCATGCTACCAAAGCTCTTCTAGATATATCAGCCTGCCCTGTCCACGGGAAAGTTCTACATATTGTATCTATCATCTTGCTAATCTTCTTTGGTAGTAAACATACATGAGCCCAATAAGACTGCATCCCAAAAATTACTGATTTAATGAGCTGCAATCTTCCAGAATATGACAATAATTTTGAGGTCCAGCAACTGATCCTTGCAGTGATCTTTTAAACCAATGGCCAACACTGTTGGTTGGATAGCTTTTTAGGAGCTAATGGCACTCCTAAGTATTTAAATGGTAAGCTTCCTTCATTATATCCCAACTCCTGCAAGATAATTTCTTTCATCCTCTCATTTGTACCTGCAATGTAAATTGAGCTTTTATCTTGATTTGCCTGAAAGCCTGAAGCTCTTGAAAATTTCAGAAATGCATCCTGCAGTAACTTAATTGACTTCAAATCAGCTCTGCAGAACATCAATAAATCATCAGCAAAACACAAATGCATCACTCCTAGTCTTTTACAACTTGGATGAAAGTGGAAATCCTTATTTAAAGCCAGTTGACTAAATTCCTTTTGCAAGTACTCCATAGCTATCACAAATAAGTAGGGCGACGTAGGGTCTCCCTGTCTTATACCCCTTTTACCTTTAAATGGCTTTGTGAGTCCTCCATTTAAGGTCAAAGAGTAGGATACAGTTATTAGGCATTCCATTATCCAGCAAACAAATTGTGTGGAAACCCCAACCCTATCAGTATCCTCTTCAAGTAGAACCAATCCAATGTATCATAGGTTTTCCTAAGATCAACCTTGAGAATACATCTTGCAGATATTTCTTTCCTAGTATAGCCTTTGAACAGTTCATGGGTGAGTAGGATGTTATCAGTTATATCCATGCCTTCAATGAAAGCTGATTGAGAGTCCCCCACCAGATAGTTCATTACTGCTTTTAATATCCCAGTGATGATCTTTATGATAATCTTGTAGATAGTTGTGCAACATGATATTGGCCTAAAGTCCTTAACCTGTGTAGGGCTAGGAACTTTAGGAATTAAAGTAATAGCAGTGCTATTGATGGCCTTTGGTAGCTTTCCTGTATTAAAGAAATCCAAGACATCAGCAATCACATCTGCTCTGATCACCTCCCATTGTTGTGTGTAGAATTCTACTGGAAAACCATCTACCCCAGGAGCCTTGTCAGTTGGCATGCTTTTAATAGCTCATATAATCTCCTCCTCTGTGACTGCCTTGATCAGCTCCAGTTGTTGTTGCCTTGTTAGACAAGGTCCCTTTTTAATCACCTCAGCATCTGGACAAGGGTGCAATGGTGATGACTCACCCATCAATTTCTTAAAGAAGTCCAGAAATTTCTCCTCCATCTGCTTAGGATCTGTTAATTTAATACCTGCATCATTTTGAATAAAAACAATTGCATTTGTATTAGTACGCATCTTCCATTGAGCATGGAAGTACTTTGTATTTCCATCTCCATGTTGAATCCAAGTAGCTCTAGACTTCTGCCTCAACACCTGCTCCTCAATGTCAATCCATTTCTCCACTTCTAACAAAGCTTCCTTTTCTTGTTCTATGCATTCTTGCCTTAAAGGCTGCAGAAACAGTTGATGCTGAACCAGTTCTAACTTCTGCTTTGCTTGATTCGGTTTTCTCTGATAAGATTCCATATAGTTGTTCAGGCTTCTCAATGACTCCTTTAGTCTTTTGAGCTTATACCATGTCCTTGCCTTCCCAATATCTCTATCATTCTGCATCCATACTTCTTTCACTATCCTTGTAAATTCAGGATGGCGAAGGACAATATGGTACAGTCTAAATGGTCTAGGATACAAGTGTTGTTGAATTATACCAGTCTGGCAATTCATTAGTATAGGAGAATGATCAGATACACCAGGGTTCAAATTTTCTGCTTCAATGTGCCCATTGTTCATCATCCAACTGAAATTCCCAAAAGCCCAATCTATCTTGCTATATACCCTTACATTTCATCCCTTTTATTGCACCACGTATAATACCATCCTGTGCTTTTCAAGGGAGTGAGCTGCATTTTATCCAAGAACTCCTTAAATTCTTGTACCTCTGCCAGTGTTATGGGAGCACCAATTCTATCATCTGTTAGTAATACATTGTTAAAATAACCACTAATTAGCCAGTCACTTATGATATTAGAACCTATACCAATAAGCTTCTTCCATAACTGCCACCTTGTGTTCAATTCATTATAAGCATATACAACAGTGAAAAGCCATTTCTTCTGACTAATTTGTTCTTCCACTTCACAATGAACAAACTGTGCATCTACCATAAGAATCTGAATGTGGATATGAGGCTTCCACAATAACCAAATTCTCCCATTATATGCACAGTTATAGTTATACTGTACCTTCCAGTCCTTAGCTATCTTCTGGGCTATTCTTTTTGCCTTATTCTCTTTCACCCTTGTCTCAACTAGTCCCATTACCTCTACCTTGTACTTCTTCAGAAAGAGCACCAACTCCTTCTGTTTAAAGGGCTTATTCAGCCCTCTAATATTCCAAGTACTGACTATCATGGAATTGTAGGATAGATCTGTCCACCCTGCCCAATATCAGTTGAGATACCACCCTGATTCAGAATCTCAAATCTGTTTATGGTATCTACTTGACTAGTAGAACAACTTTGTTCCTCCACAGTAGACACAACCACTCTCTTCTCATATCTTCTCTTATTCCTCATTACTTCTGAGAGTGCTGGGAATTCATTCCTATCAAGCTGCCTACTTTCCATTTGTGAGCGAACTGCATTTTCCTTTATTATAGCCTCCTTTGTAGCATCAACTATTTGTTCTTCAACTGTTGGAGCATTCATCTCTTTCGCTACCCATTTAGTTTCCGTCTTTCTCCTTCTTTTTCCCCTTCTCTTCCTTCTGTTCTGTTCTACAAATGCTCCATTTGTTTCTTTTTCCTTGCTCTGTCTGCATTCCTCAGTGGTATGCCCAACTTTTGCACAATCCATACAAAATTTAGGCTTCCAGTCATACTCTATGCTCTGATGAATAACTCCTACTGGAGTATGAATTAAAATATCACTTGGCAGAGGGTGAGAAATGTTTGTTTTTACAAGGACTCTAGCAAATGAAATAATATCCATCTCAGCAGTGTATAAATCTGTATACGTTGGCCTTCCTATTCCACTTGCCAATTTGCTTAGAGCCTCAGCTGACCAAAATCCCACTGGTAAATTTGGGAATCTTACCCACAATGGAATCACATTCAAACATTCCGGATCAAAGACAAAATCAAGTGACCAATTCTTCAAAATTAATGGTTTATTATGAAAAGTGCAAGGCCCTAATTGCATGACTTTATCCCTATCTTCAAGTGAATCAAATCTAAATATGTAATAGCCATCGTCATGGTATAAGATCTTTGGAGTATTAACAAAATCCCACACATTTTCAACATAGTTCTCCATAGATTTGAAATATGGATTTTCACCTAATACGTACCCAATGAGTGAGTTATTCCAATAATTCTGATGTTCCTTTATGTCTTCCTCTACAATTGTTACTACATTTGTATCTCCCTACAGATCTGGTGGGATATATGTGAAAGCTTTCCCCATTTGAGATCTACGATTCCTCTTATAAGGCTTCTCCTCACCTATTCTGTTACCCTGTTCCATTGGTTCCTGTTCCATTGGTACAGGTTCCTGAGTCATAGATGAAGCATGTACCGTAGATTTTGTTAGGTCAGAAAATTGGAGCCGGCGTGGAATCTCTTCTCCTGTTCTTCGCGCAGCTCGTTTCACAGCTAGGTTCTGTTGGACACTAGCTACATCTTCATCTGGGTCTTCTCTTATCGTTTGAAACTGAATTGGAAGAAAGCTTCCAAACGTTAGTGGCTTTGCATGCACTGGTACAATTATGACTGGCATGACTGAGCTCACCGATGGCGTTATAGCGGTGGTGGCCGGAGTTGTCATGCTGCCCGTGCACGTTAGTAACTCTGCTTAACATGCGCTGAGAGAGAACATTCCCCCGAAATTCCAGTTCTTACTAATTGCTTCTTGTTTAGGATTGATTACGCACGAGTAGGCCGGTTTTTTTACCGACCACAGTTGGTCGGTTTTTCTTGGTCGATTTTTGCTGAATTTCTAGTATTGTGAATTATGGTGAAACAAAGTCACCATTGAACTATAATTCGACAGCCAACTCTATATATAGAAAATGGAAAATGGCCAAATATACCCATATACTATGAAAAAATATTTAAATATACCCTTTGTTATACTTTGGGTTCAAATATAACCCTGCCGTAATATTATTGGTTCAAATATACCCCTCTTCTGTTAAGTTTGTCCAAGGTGAACATCCAATCATACATGGCACTGATATTTGACGAGGTGGACACCAGATGGCATGCCACCTCGGCGCCCCTAACCCATATATAAAAGACTAAAATTTGAAATATAATATTTTTCATGGTAGCGCTAATGGTGGCAATCGTGGTGGAGGGGAGAAAATTTTAGTGGTGGAAAAAAATAGAAGGGAGGGGTAAAATGGGTTAGGGACGCTGAGATGGCAAGCCATGTGGCATCTACCTCATCAAATTTCAATGCCATGTAGGATTGGATGTCCACTTTGGACAAACATAACGGAAAAGGGATATATTTGAACCAATAGTATAACGACAGGGGTATATGTAGACTCAAAGTATAACGAGGACTACATTTAAACCTTTTTTGATAGTATAGGAGTATATTTGGCCCTTTTCCGTAAAAAAAATCTGCGCGTCACAAGGCAACAGTTAATTATATTTCATGACTTATGAATACACATAATTAAAATAATAACTAAGTATTCTTTTCCCGCTTACAGTCAATAATCCAAATTTATATTTTAAAAAAGAAACATCTAATAAGCTAGTGATCTCAGAGTAGTGCATGCCTCAGTCGCTAAAAGTTTCAACTAGTATATAAACCTACATATTTCTAAGAAAAAGATTAGGATTAACTAAAACTGTCACGACCCAACCCCGGTCGTGATGGCGCCCAACATACTGCTAGGCAAGCCCGACCATTTACACAACCTTAACCGATTAATCACAGTGAATAAGTAAATTTTTACAACTAAAATACCAAGTTAAATGTGAAATCCTGAATTAGATGCTAACATTCGAAAACCCAAAATATAAAATACTAACCAGCCCACAGAATCTGGTGTCACAAGTCTGAGCCTCTAATGCATGAGTATTAATCTACTACATAATATTTTTCTAGAAATGTGGAAAAACAAATAAATAAAATAGAAGGAAGATCAGGACTGCGAACGCCAATTTGCAGCTACCTTAAATAACCCGAATGTGATGCTAGGCGGAGAAGAACTCACTCAGCCTCAGTGGTTGCACCGGAATCTGCACACAAGGTGCAGGGAGTATTGTGAGTACTTCCAACTCAGAAAGTAATAAATATAAATAAAGTCTGAGGATAAGAAATCCTAAATAAACACAAAGCAAAGCTATAAATACAACAACGTGAACCAATAGCATAATACAGTAAACATTAAAAACAATTATAATAAAATCACATCAGATTAAGAATAAATGACAATTAAATATGCAATGCAACACATAAACCGGTACTCTCCAGTACCCCGCTGCGACGTGCAGCCCGCTCTATTTATTTAACGTCGACGGCGCTTAGTGGGGGTGTGCAGACTCCGGGAGGGGCCCCTTACGGCCCAAGCGCAATAAGAAGCCATCTCGTGGCATCAATCAGGCCCTTGGCCTCATATAAATATCATTATCATACCACTGCGGCATGCAGTCCGATCCCATACTCAGTCCAAAATCACATAAGCCTTTCGGCACAATAATATAAAAATATTCAGCCCGAACTTTATTTAAAAATATTACTTTAGTTTCTAATTTTAGAAAAAAAATGGCTGAGTTTACAAAAAAATGTTAAATACCAGGACTGAGTTCAATATCTAGAAATATGGTAAGAAAGCAGTAAAAATAATCCCTGAAGGATTGAAGTAGTTGGCACGAAGCCCAATTATGATAATTAATCCATTTTTATAAGGATATCACAAAACTACAATCAATTAGGTAGTAATTTTATTAAGCGGGACGGACCAAGTCACAATCCCCGACGGTGCTCTACCCCACGCCCGTTATCCGGCGTGCAAGTCACCTCACATAGCACTACGTTGTGCAAATTCGGGGTTTCAAACCCTCAACACAACATTTACATTTATTACTAACCTCAAGCTCGCCAAAGTCCTAGCTTGCTATGCCCTTGCCTTTCGAATTAACCTCCTCGTGCGTCGAATCTGACCAAAACCGCAACGAATACGTCACAATATCCTAATGGTACAATACCCAATCGAAAACAATCGAAAAATAGTTAAATTCCCGAAATTAGCAAAATTCGAGCCCCGGGCCCACTTCACGAAAATCAGAAAATTTACCATCAACGGATTCCTTATTTCGCCACGAGTCTATACATATAAAGAACACCAAAATCGGAGTCAAAATGACCCCTCAAATTCCCATTTTTTGTTCTCTTAGGTTTCAAGCCCCAACCTCCATTTTTGAGCTTTAATTCCTTGATTTTTCAGTCTAATTTCATGTATTTGTACCATAAAATCGTGTTTTAGACTCAGAAATTCTTACCTCAATGAAGTCCCTTGATTTCTCTCTTCCAACTCGCCCCAATTCTCCAAGTCCGAAGTGAAACTTGTGAACCTTTATGAAATTTCGCGAAGATGAAATTTAATAACACTGCTCAGACATTTTCGCATATGCGGCTCCATGGCCGCATCTGCGCCTCCCGCTTTTGAGGTTAATGCACCGCTTCTGGGGAAATATCCGCTTCTGCGGTTGAATATGCGCTCCTGCGACTTCCGCTTCTGCGGACAAAATCTCGCATCTGCGAATCCCCCTTAACTGCTCAACTTCCGCATCTGCGGTCCTCCTATCGCATCTGCGACTATGCAGATGCGGTAACTAACCCGCACCTGCGGTCCTTGCCGCTTCTGTGGTTCTCCTCTCGCTTCTGCGGCACCGCTTCTGCGGTCCCAATTCCGCAGAAGCGAAAATACCAGAAGCAGCTGCAATTTTCTTAAGTTCTCAAACCAAAACTTCCTGATAACCATCCGAAATCACCCCGAGGCCCCCGGGACCTCAACCAAAAGTACAAACATGATCCAACACCTTATTCAAACTTGCTCGAATCATCAAAACACCACAAATAACACCTAAACCATCAAATTACATCAAATTCAAGCCTAAGTTCATCCAAATCTTCCGAAACTTGCATTCGATCAAAAACCCGACCAAAACACCTCTGAATCAACTGAAATTTTGCACACACATCCCAAATCACCTAACGAAGCTACTGCAACTCTCGGAATTCCATTCCGACCCTCGGATCAAATTCTCACCTATCAACCGGAATTCGCCACAATACTAACTTCGCCAATTCAAGCCTAATTCTACACCGGACCTCCAAAATCAATTCCGATCACACTCCTAAGTCAAAAATCATCCCCCAAAGCTTACCGAATCATCGGAATTCATATCCGAACCCTCTAACACCTAAGTCAACGTCCGGTTGACTTTTCCAAAACAAACCTTCCTTAAAGAGACTAAGTCTCTCATTTCCTTCTAGAACCAATCCAAATCAATTCATTCACACCAAACACTGATAATGNCTAGGGTTTCGCTAATTTGAAGCGTTTGGGTGGGGATTTGAGAGGGGATGTTTACAGATCTATGGTGAGGAGGAGGAGATGATACTGTGGTGTGAATTTGGGGACCGTTGGAGATTCGCCGCCGGCGGAGGCGATTTTCCGGCCGGCGGCGACGGTGGAGGGGCGGTGGAGTAATGAGTACAAGGAAGAGGGACATGTTTTTAGGGTTTCTAGGTTTTTTCAGACATTTTTATGTAAAATCAAGATCCATCAGGGGCCGTTGGATTGAAGACGATAGACGGCTTGGATTGAAGTAAACCAAACGGCGTCGTTTTGATTTTTTAAAATTGCTGGACCAGATCAGGGGTTATTGGGCTGGGTAAATGAGATGGGTTTGGGGTTTTGGACCATTTTAAGCGGATTTGGGCATGGGCTGGCCCAAAATTGGGTATTTATTAGTACTAGGCTTTTTCCTTTAATTCTTTATTTGTTTTCTTTCCTTTTACCTTTTTTTTTATTATTTTCTGACTTTATTAATTGTAAAAGTAAAAATAAAAGACCCAAATGGACTCTAAAATTATACAAATTAAAATTCCAAAATTAACTAATTTCTAATTTAAAGGAAAACTTAAGGCAAATTCTAAAATTGAAAGTGAAAATGCAAAGAACCATTTTTTGTTGTTTTCCTTATTTTTGTAATATTAGAATGCATACTATTTTGTATTTTTGGAATTATATCAAGTAAAATGCACACGAAAATGTAAACAAGACACAGAAT